TTTCGGCATAGCATCGGCAAAAGGGGAAAGGGGAAAAAAAAAGAACTTGCCGAAAATGGTCCGCCTCCTTTCGGTGAGACTTAACGAGAAACGTGCTTGTGCTTATTCTTTGAGCGGATAGGCGGGTAAAGAGCAGAGAGAGCCAGAACTGATCGACATGATAAGCAAAGCTGATCCTCCTCAATACGGAAATACAGGAAATCAGCAGAGCTGAAGGTGGCTGCTGGGATTTCATAGCGAAAATATCTGTAACACTACAATTCTTGGGATACCCCTGGAATATTCGGGTATACGTTCTGAAGCCTAAAGATGTGACTAATTTCAGACTTCACCAAAAGAGATAATTGAAACAACAAATTACGCAATTCCGTCAATTCCAGACCCTGGTTCAGTACGAAACCTTGACCTATTTCAGACCTGAATTGAAAGGATCTTATAGACTCCCAAGAGCGTCGTCAAAAGAGTTGAGTAACCACGGGCGTAACTAAGGTGGCCCGGGCTTGCTCGTGATTCAGTATAAAGGTAAATGAAAATTGTTGAAAGGGTTTTTAGTAAAGGGAAAAAAAGAATGAAAACTTTTAAGGAGGCATAAAAAGAGGAGGGGAGGAGGAGGGAAATGGAATCAAAGGAAAGGGACTTTTCCCCAGTCCTTTTCTCTCTTTATGCAGCTTCCCTTTCAACGCCTCCAGAGATGGGCCGATGATATCAATTTTGAGAGCGTTGTATTGGAAAGAAGCCCAAGAATCATTGGGTTACTCATTCCTGGAAGAATAAACTGCTTTATGAATTTCCTGTGATATTTAGAGAACATACGCAGTATGGCAAATGGTAATAAATTATCTCTTTTCTAGCAAAACTCTTAGGCTAACCAAGCGAAACATCAAGAAAAAATAATATTAACTCCTGTTATCAGTATACGTACGATAAAGTTCTTGCGCAATGAACGTGATATAGAAACCATACATTTCTATTTGAGAGTCTAGTTCCTGGTCAGATTAGCCTCCGGAGCTGGCGGTCAATAAATGCCCTGCGGTTTTTCTTTTTTATCACCCGCCCTCGACGGACTTAGGGTCTGCGAACAGGAAAGCGAAGCATGCGCGAGGGATCGCATTTTCAGCGCGTGCAGTTCCTGGCTCACGCGCTCGACTTTTCAGGATATCCACCAAAAAGAGGTCTTATCGTAGGCCAAACTGAATAGATCTAAAAATGTTTGAAATAACATTTTCAGCCTGTAGTAGGCAGAAAAATAAGAATATCTAGCCTGCGAGCAAGCTCTCCTATTTGGGCGAGTGAAACGAGTCTCGCGAGAACGCGCGAGCGAGCGGCGAGGCTTCGCTTGCCCAAATAGGAGAGCTTGCTCGCAGGCTAAAGAATATCCAGCCTAGGTACAAAAATATACCTTCTAGAAAAGGGTGTAAATCGGCAGGAGGAAAGGGCCATCTCCATTGTTTCCATCTGTTTATCTGTGACGGCGATTGATCCTGCCAGTGTGGTTCAAAGGGCCGATCGATGAAGAAAATCAATCAAAGTAGCTGACTGAATTTGGTGGAGAATTGAGAAATTAACAGAAGAGCACACTCGAAGGGATTGATGAGAAGTACGGTCGATTTAATCAGCGAAAGAATATATGGAGTATAAACGTGCGTTAACCTGTGAATCGAACCTCCTATTCTGAGGACTAGACGTTGCCTATTTTAGAGAAAAAAAGGAAATAATATTTATGATTTTGCTGGTACTATGAAGATGATGGCGATCTCGCAACACGGGCCGCGACTCAAATGAACAAAATTACACAATTGCGGGCACAAAATACCAAGAAGGTTTACACAAGCAGATAAAAGCAGCAACAAAGCTCGCACGCTTATGATCAAATTAGTGATGTAAAGCAATATTAGCCCAGCTTTTAATCTTTTCCCCTACCTCTCTTGTTCGAATTTCTGCTGCGGGTGTACCTTACAAATTTGCACAAGGGAACCGAAGTGTGTGACGTCACACTGGCAGTGATGAATCGGTCACAGACAAACACATGAGATGACCCCTGGTGTAAATCAGGAAATTGAGTTTTTTTTTTCCATTTTTTGGACAAAGTTTCAGCTTACCATTTTTTTTACCCAAACAAAATTATCCTTGTTACGATGAACGTCTCTTTCAAGATGTTAACTGGATGCCTTGGCTGTCAGCCTAAAAAGCAAAATTAGTGTTATAAGACAGACAAGCCCTTCCCTTTCGGCGGACTAAAGCTACTGGCGCCCCACCTGAAACGACGCCAAAAGTACGTGGTGATAATCATAGCAGACAAGGTCATCAGATTATAAAATAAGAAAAACAGACAACTATACTTTATTGTATTCTTTCCTAGGGCAGTTTCAATCACTGGAATATAAATAGTTTTTCATTAAATTGTACAAATAAAAGCTTCTTCAGACGAAACTGTCACAGAAACTATCTGGCAGCATATTTCTGAGTGACGCAGGGTATTTGTAACGAATTATTGCTCTCAGTAGTATTTTGCTTGTGAGCTTCAAGAAATTTTCTTCGTATTTGGTGATTTCAGAGTGCGACAAGAGTATCCAAAGGAAGAAAAAGATGGAATTTGAAAATCGGCAATCAGGGACATTGTCTTAAACATAAACAAATGACTGATTATTCACTCATTATTTTGACCAGCCAAACGATCATTTACTGGGGATTATGTTCCCACTTACGCGTACTTAGACTAGAGAGGTTAAGTACCATGTTCAAGTCGGCTTCCCGTTAGTCGTTTCTGAGCTCTGCTGTTGATAATGATCGCATTTAGTGCTTACGCTTAAGCCTGGTGTATAGTTTAAATGGACAGGAAACTCCGAGTAGTGTTGATTCACAGACGGTTGGTTTATGCCGAACCTCAAATTGCGTCAAACCTATTTTAGCCTGCAGGCGCCCCTCGCGTTTCCCTCGCGCCCAAAACGCCCTTTCCCTTCCCTTTCAAACGCCTGCCACGCAGGCTAACCAATTTCGAATCCAATTATTCTTTCATGTGCACAGGAGCCTATCACCAAGTAATAAGACAGTATTGTATATGCTGAAGCATATATCACTATTGTATTCGACAACAATAAAAAAATCAGTTCTTTACTCATTTACTCTTAGACTACAGCCTTGTCCGCTGGGCTCCTCCCATTTTCAAAAGAAAAAGCCTGGGAGGCGAGATTCATGCAGGCATATCGTATTTTGGAGAAAATTAAGGAGAACAAGCAGAGGCGTTTTTGAGCGGCGCACGCAACCGGCGTTGCATTTGGGCACTAGTTTTACCCAAATTTTTGGGCGAATCGTCTCTTTATAAGAGTAGCGTCGAGGCATATTTAAAAAGAAGACCACTCTTATGATTGGCCACGGTTGTCGCGCGTGGCAGATTTCGTTTTGGTTTCACGAATACTTTCCACAATTGTATGTTTTCACAAAACGAAAAAACCTGCACTAACTATAATTGATACCACAATATATTCTAAAACGGACTTTCATAAGCTATAATTTAAGAATGATACAAGAATAAATTATTTCAGCCTACAATAGGCAGAAAATAAGAACAATCAGCCTGGGCCGGAAAAACAACGTTCTTATAATGAAAAAACAACAACAAAAACAGTGTAGTAACAATGCATGTGGAGTGTGGTAACAAATTGCGACTCGTCTGTACATGACCCTCGTGGCATAAGAGCATCGCTTATCGGAACTAGTAATTAATCACGTTAACGGATGGAGAGGGATGTATATAAGATCGAGGCTGAAGAGTTATAAGTCCAAACCAGTGCTGAAAAAGATGAGTTGTTTACGAAATCGCCTTTTTAAAGTCGTGTGTGTAAGCGCCCCGGTAGCGAGGACCAGGAAAATTTTAGGATATTTACGTTTCAAACGTTCTATTTGGTATATACATGTATACGACGGCCTTCATACGACTGATACTACCAGCACTTTTTGAGCATTTCATATAATTGATTATATAGGTATTAAATTAAATGCCGGAGCCACAATTCTGGCTGGCCGAAATGATTCAGAAAAATAGGACAGCCTTTCTTACAAGATTAAAGCAAGTTATTGCGACATGTTAGATTATAGCTGTATATTTTTCGCCCTGACCGGAGTGCTTGCGTTCTTCTGTAACGATCTTTCGTGTACAGCTGCGTAGATGGTCGGCGCTTGCTACGCAGCCTCCCAGAAACACAAACTTTTTTTTGTCAAGCACTTGATGCGATAGTGAAAAGATCAAAAATTAACATTATCTTACATTTACTTTTTTCAGCGCGCGACACCATAACTGATAAGAGAAGTTTTCTGTTGTTCAGCAAATCGAAGCTGAGAGCCACTCCTAACCAATACAGTGTTCGGAAATTGTTGTGATGTCCGCAAGGTCGTAAAATTGGTCAGATTTTCGGTAACAGCCGTCAAAGAAGTTTGAAGGCTTCACATTATTGCATGACACTCTTTCAGTAAGAACAAACATCAACAGCCGTATAAACACTTAACAGGTACAGGAGGTAAAACTAGGAATTCAGCTTATGTTGACAAAGTTTCGGCTTACGATGTATTTGATCCAGAGAAATGACCCTGCAGCCGATAATGCATTTTTCTGCTCTCTTCTTCTCGCTTTTCTTGCCAAAGTTCTTTATTTTTCAGTTCACAGCCAAAAGCTGGAATATGACTGTACCTTTTAGTGTACTCCGAAGACGACAAGTTAAAAGCCTTTCACATAGCCCACGTGCATGGCGACGGCATAGAAATGGGTAAGTAGATGCCCCTCGCGGTATTGCATTCCCTGCATGCAACAGACCACGCCTTTTTGAAAAAGCGCAAAAGAGACCCTACTGTGAAACCTCGTCATTCGTCGTCTGTGCGTCGTGGCTAGGCAGAACACGTACGCTTTCTTCTGACGCACGTTTAAAACTTGCAAGGCACCATAGAATCTACGGAATACCAGCCGGATGCAATAAAGATTGTTGAAAGACAGCGGACCCACGGTAAAGATGAGCGGAAATATTTTCGCTGGGACGCCATTTTTAACCGTGATGCTTTTACTAACGTGGGCTTTGAGATCTTCTAGTGCCCCGGTGAAACAAACACGGCAAACGGTAAGAAATGATAAGAACGTGTATTTATTAAACACACTGTTAGAAAACAAGATAGTTCAAGAACTTCTTTCGATTGCCTTTAATCAAAAGTAGCGAGTTAAGCTGCCTGGTGGGTGCATGTCTTATTAGAATCGAACAAGATGTCTTTCATTACAGGCACCTTGACAAGTCTTCATCGCCTTTAACCGAAATAACTTCTTACTCCCCCGGCGGGAGCGGGGGGGAGAGACACGCAAGGAAAGTTAAGGAGTTGTGCTGCCGAAGCCTTCAAACCCTGATGCTGCTGAAGACAAAATTGCTGTTTTCGCTGCTCTGTTAAAGACCTTAATTATTTGATGATCCTGATTCGTTTCGTTTTGTATATTTATTTATTTTAATTTTTTTTGCCATGACAAAATAAATTACGTACAGCAAGTAGAATTAAAAGCATAACTAAATAGGTAAATAACATAAAATTAAAGTTATACAGCTGGGAAGGAGTGACTGTGGCGGGGAAATCTCCAAGAAGCCATCGAGCTTATGAGGACTAGCGATTTCCCTCCATCGGCAATTTAAATAGTGGCTTTTTAAAAATATAAGGAAAAAAGACGTGTGTTTTAACAATATAAGTATGTATACTGAAAAAATATTGATATGTAGGTAATCAGATATTTAAAAGCTGCATCCTGTCTGACCCTTAACAGTCAGTCTTTGATGTTGTTCGGTAAAGAATTACCTATTCTAGAACCTTGAAAGAGGATGGAAAATTTCTTAATATTTGTTCTACAAGTATGAGGTCGGTTAAAGTCAGAGTATCTGGTTGAATATTGATGAATCTGATTTCCACGTTTTGAGTCAGAGGAGGTCTTTGAACGTGTTGCGGCCATGATTATGCAAACTATATGTTATACAGAGTTATGTAATTTTCGAATGAAGTTCATGGAATAAAATTTTTGGTATCAGAAATGTAGACCACTTATCGCCAGCCTTCACACTCTTTTAAAGGCTTTTGGTCCAAAAAGATACACTGTTCAAGATGCAGAATAGTAAAATTGTACCTGTTTAAGACTAGAAAGCCATACTCTGCTCAGCGGCACATAACCGTGTCATTTTAGGCCAAATAAGGGTGTGTCCCATGGGGTTCCCGATTTTAGATTAAAATTCACTTATAAGTGTAAGGTACATCCGAATGTAAAAATAGACCTATTTTATCTAAAGTAGAGGCCAGGGTGTTTAGTTGAATGTAGAGGTAATTTCACGATTATTTGACCACCTCGAGGAAGAGATGATGTCCCCTAGGGGTGATCATTTGTTGGTTATACCACTATGAATATGGGGTGTCTCAATGGTCTTAAAGTGGAGTTTGGAATCAAAGCCTGTGCTTGACAAGACCGCGGGTCCTAGTCAATTTCATAGGAAATGTCTGCGTGAGAGGCTGGTGATGGCCAATCATACAAAGGCTGTTTTTTTGTGAGCAGTGTCGCGTAGTCATACAAGCTAAAGGAGAAAAATATTTAAAGCTTGAAACAATTCTTGAGGTCCTCTAATAATGAAACCTTGGTGTATGTAAACTTCGTTCAAATTCAATAACTCGCTAAAATGGTCAAGTATTTGAAGGTCTTTGAACGTTTCAAATCTAATTGGGAGAGGAGGCGCCCTTCGCCATTGAAAGGCATGATGGTTGGGCTATTTTCAATGTACATTTGCCTTGAAGGTAACTGTGTGTTATTCCACAAATGGAGTCGAGTGATATGGAGCGTTAATGACCTGTAGTAAGGTAGTTTCTTGCTTTTTTTCGCATATATAAAAGTGCGGGGCCGGGAAGAGGTGGGGAAGAAAACAAAAGAGTCGACGAGTTGTCCCCGAGTCAAAACCAAAGAGAGCTTACGAACAGGCTTCTACTGTTCGCAGAATAAGATACCCACAGGTTATTGCTGACGCTTCTATGCCGTGTTTCAACTCCGGTGGTAGGTCGACTGATGCATTACTTCGTTATTGTCTGTTAACTTCTCATCTGTTTGTTTTTTTTTTCGCTGTTTTTGTTGTCGTTTCATTTTTTTTAGTTGGTGGTAGAGCGGAAAGTAACAAATTGATTGAGCATATATAATTTGAAGCAACGAACCTCTGGGACAAGTTTAAAATAACGTGGTTGAAATGTTTGTAGATGAATAAACATATCTACTATAAGAAAGAAATATCAGGCAGTTGGAGTATATTTAACTGATCAAAATGTGGCGGAGCATGAGCTACCTTTGAAGGTCTGAAGATCCGGAATATGTGTTTTCCATCAGACACTGTACATAGGGATTTTTAAAGAATTCCCACACTTGCGGTTCAGCGTTGGAGGGTAGACTTGCTAGTCTTTTTGACCGACATTTCTTCTTTAGTATTCTATAGACTCCCCCTCCCCTCAAACAAAATCGGCGAGAGTGATCTTTTGTAGTGGAGGGGGCGTCTGCACACAGGCCTTCAGTTTTTATATCCTTACGACAACTTTGTTAGTTAACTATAAAATGCGCAGCCCAAGCCTTGCAAGCAGTGTTACCCTATAAAGCTAACAATTGCTTTTTTCTTTTTTCATTGTAGGCGGAATTTTTATTGAAATTTGGCTATATTCAACTAAATGATACAGACAACAGTAGAGAGGTACCAGATGTGAACTCGCCCCAATTTAAGGCTTCCTTAAGAAGCCTTCAGAGGTTTGGAAATATTCCCGTGACAGGAAGTATGGACGCAGCAACTATCGCCCTTATTAACACTGACCGATGCGGCGTCAAAGATCCACAGAGTAATGCTGCTATTGGAAGGTTTAATTTACAAGGAACTAAATGGAAGAAGAGGGTAAGTTATGAAGGATATTCATTATTAGTAAAATCCAACTAGTGCCGGGTCTATTATCTATGCTGCGTTCTGATTGGTTGAGCTACTACTAGGCTATATGTTATAGCCCCCTAGTAGCGAAAAGCGCGGGCTTTTTGGCGGCAGAAAAGGATAAAGTCTAGCTTTTGCTAAATTTTTTTTATTCTCGATATTTTTGACCAACTAGCATTGTGCGTCCTTACTGCGCCGCGCATACCATAAACTCACATAAGCCCCCCAGGTGTAGACCTATCTTCCTCTAAACGAACAAAATACGTCCGATTATAATCCCCCTCCCCCGAATATAAGCCCCTCTCTGTCTTGTAGTGAAATTAATTTGATTTATGACGTTTTGAACCAGTAAATGCAAAACGTATTTGGATCTGCACTGCCATAACTTGTTTTTTCATCCTGTATGGAAGGAGGGAGACTACTCTGATCAGTTAGTGTCACAGGTTTTAGATTAGACTAAACAAATGACATGTCTTGCAATCCAACCTATTAAAGCTATCAAATCCCTACATACCCTTAGAACGCTGCGCAGAGAGGACTACGGTCAGTCAGAAATAGACCTTCTCTTCAAAAAAATAGTTCTTACCTAATATAATAGAGGCAAGATCAAAAAATTTTTCGAAAAGTTTCAAACTCTATAGGACATCGACTCTCATCTATAATAACTCGCGTCAAACCGTCTAGCTACCATCTTAGGAAAGAAACTTGTTATAAACGTAAGATTAATACAATGCGTTTCAAAAGCGCTCGTTTATTAACCATTTAGTTTTTAAATACGAATTAGCTTTGTACTACACTATATTTTAATTCTTACTTTCTACCTTTCTAAACTTTTTACTATATCTAAAATTTCTTAATTAAATACACTTGTAACACTGAAAAGATATGCATTTTTATCTTTTGAAGAATAAAGAGTTATTATCATTATCATTATTATTATTATTATTATTATTATTATTATTATTATTATATTATCATCACGATGTTGGTATCAGTCGGTTTTTTGTTAAAAAAAAAAAAACCTTTATATGGAGAGGGTTGTAGACTGGAAAGTTTGATAGGAAGAGTTAGTGGAACTTTTATTAAATGGCTTATCGCCTTGTTGTCAATTGCTGTATTTCACTTCTTCGTTGCAGCTTTTAACCTACCGCATCCTCAACTTCACCAAAGATGGAATACCAGACTCCGTTCAACGAAGAATCTTCTATAAATCATTCCAGTTGTGGCAATCCGCTGCTGGGATAGATATAAGAGAATGCGATGAATGCCGCGAGGCAGACATCCTTATCAGTTTTGTTCAAAGACGACATGTTGACCGCTATCCGTTTGACGGCCAAGGTGGAACATTAGCGCATGCGTTCTACCCTCTATCCAACAGAGGTAACAATCATTCTCGTCTCATGAGCCCGTCGTTTCTTTTTGTCACGGGGTCTTGAAACGAGGGGCTCTGGAAGCAGCCGTTACCGGATGTCAGAAAATTTCTGACATCCGGTCGCGCATGTGCAGAAGTTACAAATGACACTGCCCATGTTCCATTATCGTCCCCAGAGCCGGTCGTTTCTTAGACAAATTAAGCCGAATGGCTCAGAGACGAAAATGAGGTAAGAATCAGCTCAAGCTCGTTGCCAGGGTCATTTCATACTCATCCCCATCGTCGGTGACAATTTTCACGCGCGTTCGAAAAATTTTTTGCTCGCTGAACTCTCAAGGACGTAAACGAGGGACTACTTGTTATCTTTCAACTACTATATAGATATTCCCCGTTTAACAATTGATTAATTAATTAATCTTCTTACTCATTTTGTGTTTTCATTACTATTACATTCGTATGAGAGACATTACTGACTAACTCGAGATTCGAGAACAAAATAGATCAGTCTCCGCCTCCCGGCCGTTTCGCTCATAAACTGAGTTTGGATATATTCTTGCAATACAGATGGGCTTTAACTCAAATAATATTTTTGTTATAACTAACTAGCGCTAACCGGAACTGACCAGCCAGACTATTCACTCCCTTATAAGAATTTCACTTCTTATAAAAACTACCGAGTCAATCAGTCTTAAATATATGCACGAAGGAGATGGTTTTTCAGCAGGAACTCTTGTTAAAATCCTGAGATTTGATTTTCAAAATAACTGGTCCGGTCATGGTTTAGCCGGCCGGTCAATCTGACCTTTGGAAAGTGCCCTTAATTAAACTACTCCCATTTTCGATCAGGTCTCTCGGGGGATGCACATTTTGATGATGACGAGCGATTCACTACCGGGACAAGCGACGGTGTCAATTTGGACTGGGTTGCGGTTCATGAGTTCGGACACAGCCTGGGTCTGGAACATTCCAACGTACGGGAATCTATCATGTACCCTTGGTACAAGGGATACCAGGGCCCTAATATTGAACTGACCCAAGATGACGTCCAGGGTATTAGGGCATTATACGGTCCGAGTAAGCGTCTCTGTTTGTTTGTTTGGTTTTTCTTTGTTTTTCATGAAAGATTTACGTCAAAAAACTATTCTAGTCAATGCTAATCTCGTTTCCTTGCTTTGTATTAAAAAACTAAGGCCCTGTCCACACTTTGAATGCGTTTTCGTTGTCATCGAAAAGCGCATCGATCGATTCGAGTCCACATTTTCGTTTTGATCCTTTTTCGACTGTCCACAATAAATCGTTCGACGTAAGTTAAACTCTATGCGCATGCTACAAACACACGCGCCCGCGATATTTTTGGTCATCGTTTTCATTTTGCTGCGATTTCGACCGTTTTCGACCATCCACACTAATACGATATGTATGCGTTTAAATTTTGATCCACTTTCAAGAGCGATTTCAAATCGCTGCGTTTTCGATGAAAACACTCAGCGTATTAGTGTGGACAGAAGGCCTAAACGTATTGAAATGTATGCGTCATTCAAACGAAAATGCATTAAGTGTGGACGAGGCCTAAAACTCTTCATTTTTAAGGTCATTTAAAATAGGGAAATAAAATAGATGCGGTAATAAGTGTTTTAATTTTTTTTTTTTCTAAACCATTTGAAAGCTAACAAGCCTTTATTTTTTTAGAACCAACTGTTCGTCTACTGACAGCACCAACAGCAAAGACAACGCCTAAAGCGGAAACCACGAGACGCCCTCTGCGAGTAACTACGCCATCTACCTCACGCCCGCGGGTTACTACGCCTTCTACCCGACGCCCGCGGGTCTCCACTCCTACTCCTCGTCCTCTCTGTAACAGTTCCATTCGTTATGATACAGTTTTTGTCGGCCCCGATAGATGGACCTACTTCTTAGTGGGGGATAAATTCTGGATGGTCTCCAAAAGACTTCGCAGGGATGGTCCTTGGCTTATTAAGCAGGTTTGGAAGGAAATAGAGACTCCAGTTGATGCTGCCTATCTCAACAGTCAAAATCACGTCGTGTTCTTCAAAGGATCAATGTAAGACATTGCACTCCTTATGACTGATCGCCCAGGGTTAACAGTTAATTTTGTTTTCCCCGAGGAAATTCTTATCAATGATATCGGGAAAGACACGTTGGAGGGCTTTCAAACTTATCTGGTTTCCCGAGGAACTATTGTAGTGGTTAAGTGATTTGTTATTAAGCATTCATTGATTTTTGCAAATTTAAACGTAGCTTTGCACTTGATCGCTGTTTAAGGCTGTATTCACACTAAAACCGAGCTTTTTGTGCCGACAAAAAATGCTATCTGATATAAACACCTATTCGATATGTGACTCTCCACTTTAGAGATCGGCGGGCGCAGTTCCGCTTCGTCGCAGATATCGCGCCGAAATCACCGTTCTATGACAGGAACAGTAGCCCTATCTGTATGGTTTTCGTGCCGGCGCAAGAACTTGTATCCTGTATAGTGTGAACATAATCTAAAAGGAGTCATGTCAAGGGGTCGCATAACAATACATACGGCCAAACTAGAAGCCTTCCATTTTAGCATATTGTTTTCCACAGAGATCAATCCTTTTTGAAGGCGTCTAGATGGGTTAATAGAATCCGTAACGCTGGCCAGAAAGATTGCAGCTTTTCATTTTGAAAATGAAAGCCTCTCCAGTTGCTATCACTTACGACCCGTCCACAGGTATTGAAAACGGAGATTTTTTCTCCGTCTTAGCCTTCTGTGTACTCGTAAAGGTGATGTTTACACGGGACGATTCGCAACGACGATATTTAGCGCAACACAGAGTTACAACATTGTTCCAACGTTGCAACGCTGTGTTGCACTAAAATTCTTCGTTGCGAGTCATCCCGTGTAACATCACCTTAAACGGCGTTTTCGGCCACCAAAAACGCAAGTGTTCGAAAGCGATCGTCGACCCTAGGGTGGAGTTTTTGAAAAGGCCTGCTTATAGTATACGTGTGGATGAGCAAAAGGGAGGTTTCAAATACGATAATGTCTTTCATCATACAGCTTGTGCCCTGTGACGTCTTGCGTGATGGCACCCCTATTGTAAGACTAGAAATTTTTGATTAAAGGTTATAATATTATATATGTATTGAAAAAGCTTGCTTTATGAGACTATAAAACGCGGAGCTAAATGAAAGCTGTCACCTCATCTGCCAAAGAAAGAAAGTAATGTGTGGGGATTTCAACGGATTCCTTATCAGATACAAATTAATAGAGAAGCCCTTACTGTGCTCTGTTCTGTTGTAAAACACTGAGAAACGGCTAGAGCACTCAAGAAGTTGGGACAAACATTTGAACATTCCTCGGCCTGTTTCCCCCTACACTTCTTTCGTTTTCTAGCCGCTACCTGCGTTCTTTACAACAGAACAGAGCACAATCAAGGCTTCTTTATTTATTACTGGAATACGCTGGGTGTAGACGCGTATTTTCGTTTTTAAAAAATATCCGTATACATTTATACGAGGCCTTAGTGAACTGTGACCTTGTCACTTTCCGTCTTATCTTTAGGTTCTGGGAATATGACTACAAACGAAAACTTTTGAGATCCGGGCAAATCAACAACTACGGAAATAGGGCGTTCAACGGACACATTACCAACATAGACGCGGTCTTTATCTGGGAGAGAAACAGCCAAACTTACTTCTTCAAAGGAAATAAGTACTGGAAGTATGACGACAGAACCAGAAGGGTGTATACCTACGGATACCCTAGAGATATTCAAAGAGCATGGAAGTTTCCTGGAAAAATTCGAGCGGCCGTCAAATGGATGAACGGTCGTAATTACGTGTTCTGGGATACAATTTATACCAAGATGGACCGGGGGAAAGTTGGAAAAGCGGCAGGATATCCCCAGGATATTGCAAACAGGTGGATGAGGTGCAATTCAAAAGGAAGAGATCTGTTTCCAGAGGATCCGTAATCAATTTAAATTTATGACTGAAAACATATCAAAAATCTAAGAACCCATGTGGCCGGTGAATAGTATCACTTTGCGAAGCTAAAAATGCAATTTTTTCAAAGCAATATGCTCAAACTGTGGAACACTTCTGTCAGAATAGACATTAGCCAACAATCTTCAGCCTTTTTACTGATAATTGCTGTTAGAAAGGAGTAATCAGACGCGGAACCGTTTCTACACGACCTACATTCTTGGGCTTGGGTATGTCAATTAAACGCAGATAACTGACCAAACTGTTATTTAGACAATCGTTCCCCTCCAATTCCCGTCACAAAAAAGAATTTTCGCTCAAAAATTCGCGCTTCGCTTAGGTCACGCGCGCCTGATGGCGTCACTTCAGCAACATCCAAAGACGGAAGCTAAAAATTAAAATTTGTTTCGTGGAATAAGTTAGGAAGTTTTAAGACCGAATCGGGTCATAATGACAAACAACAAATAGGCGAAATAATATTGACTCTGGTACTCTGCAACTAGATTTGGTTTCGATAGGGTAGATTGGCCACCGTAGGGGGGATTGAGTAGTACCAAAGTCCCATTATGGCTCTTGGTAGTACTGCCTCCTTCAGGCTGGCCAAGGCTTAGTTGGGAGCACCTGTGACAAGCGAGAAGCGCGAGAGGGAATGATGGGAACGACTGATTATTTTTTTCCTTCCTACAGCGTTGTGGACCAATCGATAAATTTCTGGGAATTTCACCATCTTGGATTCACGCTGTTTCCCCCCTTCCAATCTCTCCTTTGGTCCCCGCTTTCCTTAATAATCCCCAAATTTGAAAGTGATTGCGTCTGACTGGAACGAGGCAGTGAGAAGTTGACGTTTTGAGCTCTAGCCTTTCTGTCGAGTGATTCTGAAAAATTGTGGGCTGCGGGCTGTGTGCGGTTTATATACCAAGAGATGGAGGTATGTTATGCTGGAAACGTGGTTAAGTGAAAAACAAGAATAAATTCGCTGAATAAAAAGCGTTCGTTGTTTCTCGCGAGGAAGGTTATTAAGGGTCTGCGCTTTTGAATTAAACTACAGATTCCCATGTTTTCGCTGGGATATTTAGCGAGATTAAAATGGATCGCCAGGGTTTCGATAGGTCTTGGTCGTTCTTTCAACATCTCGGAGATGTTTGCGCCATTTTAATTCCTGTAGTCATTGCAGCCAAAACATGGGAATCCTTTCCATGTTGCATGGGTCCCGAATAAACTAGAGCCAAAATGTTTTTCATTTCGGCCGGCACACGTAATCCCCTAATCCCAAGCTAAATCCCAAAGGAAACAACGAACGTTGTTCACGTTAAGAACATCCATTACCGGTATGTAAACCACATACAACACAGGATGAACAGGAGATTTAAAATTCACGTACTGGGTACTACGCCAAACCTCTCCCCTAGACGTAGAAAGGTTTGTCGGTACGACTGTACGCAAACCTACCTGCTACGCGCAATAGACCAAGTTCTCGGAAAATTACTTCCGGTTGTTGTAGCAAAGGCCGCAGAAGCGTTTTGCGTTTTTGTGAACAGGCTTACACAAAACAACGCAACTGCACAAAGCAAAGCAACGCAACGCAACGCAACTCAATATAGCCCAGGTTGTAAAACGCGCAATATATGCAATACGCTGCAAATTACTCAATACTACTTCTATAATTGGTGTACTCGTATATTAATTAGTAATGGTAACAGGACTGAGTGGAGTCCAATTCGGTCTGTAATCATACGAGTCATTAACAAAATGGGACGACCGCGTAGCGGGAGTCCGATTTGTTTAATCACGAGTATGATTACAGACCGAATTGGACGACACGAAGTTCTGTTACCAATTAATCATAACTTTAACAAAATTTGTGATATGATAGGCTATTTTTTAAATCAAAACACAAGAAATTCGAAATTTTGCTTTGCTAGCAGTGAAAAAAAAGGCCATTTAAGCGCGCGCGTGATGGCGCGTACTGTCCAATTACTTAGGCATGACGCGTACTGTTCTATTAAACTGTCCAATTAAGGCTGAAATCAGGGCAGTTGATAGCCAATCAGATTTGACAATTTTGTTATAGTTATGATTAATGTTATAATTGTTCTACTCATATCTTGTTATCTGCTGACTGTAAATGTTTTACTGATCAGTTTGTTTGAAGCTGGGTAACGAACGGTCTTGCACAGCTTTTTCTGCGCACAAAGACAGTATAAAACCATCATCGCGTCTGTAACACGAGCAGACCTCGTTAATGTGCTTAACAACAAAAAAAAGTTTGTTTGTTAAGTTTTACAACTCGCCCCTGACTTGCAAACGTCCCTTTTACGACAGAATGGTACAGATTTTACTGGACAGTTTACGGAGTATTGCTTAACATGTCGCGGACGTGATCGTGGGACTGATAACAGTTTTTGCCTGGCCAACCGGCGGCTGTTAGACAAAAAAAGATATTGCGCAATATGGAATTATGGCGTATATTGCGTAATTTACAACTTTTGGTATACCGCATCACGTAGTGTTGCGCAACACATTGAGCAGTCTGCAATTGACCTGCGCAGCTGACACAATACCGCAGTATATGTCGCAGTTTTACAACTTTTGGTGTGTATTGCGTTGCGAGGAACAAGCCTACTTGAGTAGACCTTGATCACGTACACCGTCTCTGTTGCCACCAACCATAAAAACACGGCGAGGTCGCACCAAAACTTTTACAATATATGTTCAATCACTCAGTAACTTTTACTTGAGAGGCCCTCCCTGAACATCATTTATGTAACATGAGCCGTCCCATGATTTCAGTCGAACTAGTGACTTTGCAACCATATGCCTTTCCCTCAGTTTATAACTGTTCTAGAGATAAAACAGTTGTTGTTCTTGTTTATCTGTAGTCTCTAGTCATTGTTGTCAATTTTAGTTTCTTTAATTATCTTTTTACTTTTAGTTGTATTTTAATAGTTGTATTTATTTCCTGTAAACATGACCCTTCTGGATTAGCTCAGCTACCTTCGCGGGCATGTTATAATTGTACTTTTACCTTAAAATACAATTAAAAAATGTATGTATGTATGTATGTTAGTGAATTTTGCAAGTGAAAAACAGGTCTTGATTGTGAGAGAGGTGGTGGTTTACTCGCTGAATATGGTGCAAAAGTTTTTTTTTTTTTCCATCAGCTAGTCTAGATCAACACGGCACGTACTCATTTGTATCTCTCTGTGTCTTTTGGACGTGGATTATGGCTCCGCACGCCCCGAGATCCCAACCATTATAGTCATTATATAGGCTAAAAAAATGTGGCGAAAATAGTTTGCGTTTCTTCTGCATGTTTTCAACTAGAATTATTAAAATTAGCTGAGGTTTTTTTTATATTTTTCAGTTAAGTTGTTTAGTGGGCCTTGACAACAGTTTATTTTCAAACTGAGGAAGAAATTATTTTTAAACTGGATGGGAGATAAATGTTTATAATAGATTGACCATCATTTACTCCTGGGGGAGGAGGGTTACTCCCGGCCGGAGATATTTATGTGGAAGTGTGCGTATGTTTTTGCAACCCTTGCTCGTTTCAGACCAAATTACTGTGCCATTTGACTATTTAATTTTTTACAGTATGATGGACCAGACTTCTAAAGCATGCCATACTCGACCCCAGTGCGTACGCTTCTGAAACAGGAGAGATCCGGGTTCGAGATTGTGCAGCACGCGCACTCTAGCTCATGTTCTCAGAAGCCCAGCACGTGCGAGGTTAATGGTTGTGTCTTGAGAAGGCTTCAAATTTATCAAAGAGATAAGCATAAGTAAAATGTAGTATCTTGTAAAATCTATACACAAGTCCAGACCAGGCAATATTTTAGAGCACAACTTTGATGTCTCCAGTGTATGACTAAGAGGTACACACCGCGAATAACTTTATGTCTTAAACAAGGGGTATCCCTAATGAAATGAGGATCCACTCCACCAAGCCGGTATAGCACGTAACAGAAGCCCATCAGGGCTCCTGCACGTGACCTTAAAAAGATGTTCTCTTAATTTGAAAGTGATTGCGTCTGACTGGAACGAGGCAGTGAGAAGTTGACGTTTTGAGCTCTAGCCTTTCTGTCGAGTGATTCTGAAAAATTGTGGGCTGCGGGCTGTGTGCGGTTTATATACCAAGAGATGAAGGTATGTTATGCTGGAAACGTGGTTAGGTGAAAAACAAGAATAAATTCGCTGAATAAAAAGCGTCCTTTGTTTCTCGCGAGGAGGGTTATTAAGGGTCTGCGCTTTTGCGTGTTACTTTGATGAAGAATTAAACTACAGATTCCCATGTTTTCGCTGGGATATTTAGCGAGATTAAAATGGATCGCTAGGGTTTCGATAGGTCTTGGTCGTTCAGTTTCACATCTCGGAGATGTTTGCGCCATTTTAATTCCTGTAGTCATTGCAGCCAAAACATGGGAATCCTTTCCATGTTGCATGGGTCCCGAATAAACTAGAGCAAAAATGTTTTTCATTTCGGCCGGCACACGTAATCCCCTAATCCCAAGCTAAATCCCAAAGGAAACAACGAACGTTGTTCACGTTAAGAACATCCATTACCGGTATGTAAACCACATACAACACAGAATGAACAAGAGATTTAAAATTCACGTACTGGATACTACGCCAAACCTCTCCCCTAGACGTAGAAAGGTTTGTCGGTACGACTGTACGCAAACCTACCTGCTACGCGCAATAGACCAAGTTCTCGGAAAATTACCTCCGGTTGTTGTAGCAAAGGCCGCAGAAGCGTTTTGCGTTTTTCTGAACAGGCTTACACAAAACAACGCAACTGCACAAAGCAAAGCAACGCAACGCAACGCAACGCAACTCAATATAGCACAGGTTGTAAAACGCGCAATATATGCAATACGCTGCAAATTACTCAATACTGCTTCTATAATTAGTGTACTCGTATATTAATTGAAGTTATAATTGTTCTTCTCATATCTTGTTATCTGCTGACTGTAAATGTTTTACTGATCAG